AGTTCACAGGATTTAAAGAGGCGTGTTTGTTTGAATGATTTGAAGTTCGAAATAATAGTATAATTTTAGTCTTCAATTGTCAGTACCGGTACTTCAATCACATTGTCTGCCATTTTGGGATTCTGCCTCCCGTCACCACGCGCACTTTTTAACTGACCAATCAATCCCATTCGCTAAAAAAGGCTATTTGCATTTTTTCATAAGGCCACATTCCCCCTTATAGGGGAAGGAGCTCTCCGGTAATACAAAGCTTCGCAAGCTCGCTTTGATAAGCCGTGGCAGCGATACCGAGAAATATCTTGGCGTCGAACTTCTTAAATTATTATTAAAACAATTCCGTTTAAAAGAGAATTTTTATTTACAATTATTTTTTTAAAAAATAGTTATCGAATTATTTCAATTTTTCAAAACGAGCTTATTTATAAGCTTGCTTTGAAAATATGGACGGGGACGGCTATAAGACGGCCATGGGACGGTCCTAAGCTCGGGGACGATTAGAAAGGTGAATTATTCTTGATTAATAACTAGTTACTGATTTTAGATAGTTTAACAACCGTCTTTTGTAAAAGAGGGTTAGAGGACCGCTCAAATGACCCCCTACCTTAAAGGCAGGTAGAGGGTTATTTAAACCGTCAGCTGACAATCCGATGACGGTCTCTTTAAAAGACGATTCCAAGAGGTTGGCATAGCTAGTGGATCACCCTAGGCCGATACTTAAAATTGAATAGAATCTGAAAAAAAAAAAACGATTTAAATTATTTAAATCGTAGCTATAATAAAACCATCTCAATCGATCAAATCGTTTTTTTACAAGAGCTCGTCTTTTCGTGAAAAGATTATTACTAAGATAAGATTTCTTCTGATCGATTAAATCGTCGTTTATAAAAGTCGGTCTTTTTACGAAAAGACCGTCCTTAGACCCTCTTATAGCCCGTCTTGTAGCCGTCCCAAGGCCGTCCCCGAACTTGAACCCGTCTCGAGGAACGTTGATTAGTAAGCAAATAAATCCCTTTTTTGTTTTCGATTCCTCAGCAGTCGACTCTGCCCTACAATGTATACCACCGTGTTATGACACCACCTCCTGTAGCAGACCATGCAAGCGCGTCTGTAGCGCGGGAGAACTTTGGCTAAATCGATCGATTCCGATTATAAAAAATTGAAAGCGTTGATACCTACTTATATAAGCCGTAGCAGCGATACCGAGAAATATCTTGGCGTCGAACTTCTTAAATTATTATTAAAACGATTGATTCTATTTGAGAGATAATTTTTATTTACCATGATACTTTCTTTAAGATAGGTAAGTATCGAACGATTTCAATTTTTTTTTTAAAACGAGCTTATTCATAAGCTTGCTTTGAAAATATGGACGGGGACGGCTATAGGACGGCCACGGGACGGTCCCAAGCTCGGGGACGATTAAAAAGGTGAATTATTCTTGATTAATAACTAGTACTGATTTTAGATAGTTTAATAACCGTCTTTTATAAAAGAGGGTCAGAGGACCGCTCAAATGACCCCCTACCTGCCTTTAAGGTAGCTGAGCCTCTTCAGACTTCACGGATACAATTAGTACGACCTACCATATATTCGTACTTCTCATCGGCACTTGTGATACCGATGACATGCCTGCCAAAAGAGACTTTTGTTCTGCCAAAGCCTTCCCCCCTCCCCTCCCAAGTCCTACCTACCTCCTACGTCCCAGTAGGTATCTTTCTCACGCGCCGCTGGTCGAGACCACCTTTCTCTTCCAGCGTACGTAGTAATTCGTACGAAAAAAAAAAAGGGGGGGGTGCTGGGTCCTGCAAGCGACGAAGCCCAACCTACTGCAGCTAGCCATTTCCAAACCAAACCAAGCTCTCCACCGCAAGCAAGCAAGCAATAAAACAGCGAGCCACCCCCCACCACCTTCTCGGATCCGGCCGGGTCTACACCCTCATTTCCGAAAATCAACCACTTGAGACTCAAGCAGGACAAACGTCGCGCCCGCCGAAAGAAAAAGAATTCCGGATGAGGAAGGAAGGAAGGAAGGAAGGAAGGAAGTGGTGGTGGTGGTGGTGGTGGTGGTGCCTAAGGTAAGGTAAGAAGTGATGATTGAGGTGGAGTCACGTGGGAATACTTACTTGCCTTGCGGGGATTAGCGGTACCGGTACCGTGCTCGTATGGTGGGTGCACTGATGCGGAGGTAGGTAGGGGAGGAGAGGAGAGGAGGAAAAGAATAGAAAAGAACAAAAGCGGTACTACGGTAGCAGCGTTGGGTTCTAGCAGTGATGGTGATGGTGATGGTGATGGTGATGACCTAAAGCTACATATAGGAGGTAGGTAGGTAATCGCACTCGGGACGCAGGGGAAGGAGCAAGCGTGATAGATGGATAGATAGGTACCGGTACCTACCTACCTACCTACCTTACCTACTACGGTACCGTAGACGCAGCAACCCACTCTTGCCTGCCACGACGAGTCCTTTTTTTTTTTTTNTTTTTTTTTTTGGATGCCAGATTCAGACGTATGTGTGTATGTCGTTTAGAGAGCAGAGCTATATATGTAGTCAGGCAGTCAATCAGTCAGTCCTCCTCTCCCCCATTTTCAAAAAGCGAGAGCCTTCTTCTTCTTCTTCTTCAGATAGGTAGGTAGGTAGGTAGGTAGGTAGGTAGGTCTGAGAGGATGGCGGGAGGCAAG